CCTACACCAAAGTGAATTTAGCAACATTTCATTCTCCCTATGTCTTCTCTGCTATCCCATACATAAGAGCACATCACGTGATATGGAAGGAGCACTTCCATAAAATAAAGCTAGAAAATTTGAGAGCACTTTACTAAGAAACTTTCTAAATCATCCTGCATCACTAAGTATACAGATTCGTAGTTAGCTAGAAGTATCCACTTTGTTCATTCATTTCTTTAATCCCACAGACTCACTTTCTGTTACAACCCAAAACAGACATCTGATACCTCCCCCCTGGCCATCTCACCCCACACACCTCAAAAACACCAAGTATAAAATTCGGAATCTATTGCTACCCAGGTAACATATTATTAATCCAACATCCAATTACATGTGTGCATATATATATATGATTATTAAAAAGAAAAAAAAGCATAGCGCAAACGCCACTCAAAACCGTAGCATCCATAGCCCAGACCCACCTGAGCGGCTCGGGCAGTTTGCACTGACTCGGACAACCTGGAAGCAAAGCCATGACCGGAGCCGGTTAGCGCCCGAACACCCGCACCCCCACTCACACTCACGGAGCGGCCCCAAGCCTGACTCCCCTCCCGCGCCGAGGGAAGCTTCAGGAGGCGGCCGTCAGCTCGGAACACACACATCTGTGCGGGCCGCGGGAGCTCCCGGCCGCAGCCAAGCACCGGGTAGCCGCGGGACGGGACAGGCCGCACCGGGCGGCCAAGGCACGGGACGAACGGGACAGGCCGCACCGACCGCCTCGTTGCCGCCCTCCCCTACCTCTCGCTTCTCTCGCCGTTACCCAGCGCCGCGGGCGAGGCCAGAGAGGGGAAGGGAGCCGCAACGCCCTGCTCGGCGCCCGCCACGCTGAGCATGGCAGCACTCGTGGCCCCAAGCGGGCTCTCTCCGCCACCGACGCCCGGCGGGAGGAACAGGCCGGCGAGAGCGGCGGCGGCGGCGCCCCGCCCGCGCGCATGCTCGCAGCCCCACGGGCATGCACCGCCCACCGCGGCAGCGGGTACTGTCTCCGGGAGCAGCGGGTCGGCGGCATGGGGTGTGGGCTCAGTTCAAGGGAAAGGCGCGTCAGTAGATCCAACAGATGCCGTTCCCCGCCCGTGCGGCGCGCTGGGCTCTTCGGTGCTGAGCCGTGGCGGATGCCTCAGGCGACTTGGGTCTGGGAGCTGCGGCTGCTGCGGCGCTGGGCCCAACGCCGCCAGCACAGGAACGCCAACGGGAGGAGCGTACTGCTCCGAATAGGGCAAAATGGGTGTCAAAAAGAATTCGTGAAGCTGCAGGTTACCGAGTGATCGTTTGAAGTGATGAACATCAAGTACCTTCAAAAGCATTGTAAGCTGAGCTTGCAGCAGTAATGCTGTTCAAGATGCTGTGGATATAAAAGGAGGCAATGTTTGGGAAGAGGCAGTATCTTTCCTTAGGTTTTCTACAGCGGAAAAGGATTCAAGACAGTGGGCTAAAGTACTGTGGAAAGACAGATTTTAAGCTCACAAGCCAGTTTTCAGACCTGAAGCGGAAAAAAGATCTTGTGCCCAAGATGGACATTCGAATTCGAATGGAGATTGGTTTCCCTGTGTTGGTGGAGCTGTCTCTTACCACAAACCTCACCCCTTAGTAACAGACACGTTAGTTTATCTCCGGATTTTTTCCTTACAATTGCAGCAATTCATTCTCTCTGACAGAGTCCCTTCTTGGGCTTTACAGTTGTGCTGCTACCAAACCAGACTTGCAAACTCATTACCATGGGACTACGTTTATGTTGCTGCCACCAGACACTACAGCCAAAATGAGAGCTCTCCACTGTTTTCTGGGAAATACAAACATGTTAGTAACATCAAAGTTATTCAAGGAAAAGTGCTTCATGTAAGATTTAAAGATATATATACACACCAAACATTTGTATTCATACACCAGAAAAGAGAGACTGAAGACACCAGTGGTGTTTTTGATGAATTAAATTAAACCCACACCCCAGCACCACAGAAAATGATGAGTTTCACAGCATTCATACAGATTTGCTCTTTGTAATGATTTACAGGGAAAAGTAGATCCATGACAAGAGTTTCAAGCAGCATGCAAAAGTATATACAATTTGAATAAGAAAACCCTTTGTCTGGATATCTACAGCATTAGGGAACAAAAAGAACCTGTAAATGAGAAAACAGTACAGATTCAAAGAGTAGTTTTTGGTTTTTAGGGATAGGCAGTGGGTTTCAAGGAACATACAGGAACTGATCAGTCTGTTGTGATTATTTTGGTGCCTATAATAACAGTTGGATCAGAGAGTCAGAAAGAAAAGGGGGAGGGGGAGAATGATACTAAAAGCAAGAAATAACTAGGCCAAAAATATATTTATCTGTATATTTGTTTCCTCCTCTTAGAAACAGCAGGAAGCTTTAGCTACAGCACTTGAAGCTCTTATATTGACATGGCAGTGCTCATAGGGTATAATTCAGCAGCCAGGGATTTTGCTGGCTAAGCCCTATTTTCCCTTGAAATGCTGTCAGCACTGAGGCCTGGAAAGAGCAACTGATAGATCTGGTTATTAGCTGTGCATCAGAGATGCTCAACAGATGTTCTTACAGGCTACGAACTAAAGCAACCAAATCGACTCACAGACAAAAACTGGCTTTGGTACTCAATTCTGCATCGAGATGCCTCTTACATCTTGTGGCTTGGGACAAAACTGCTTGCAGCAGTTTGTCCTTACAAGGGAAAACACAGTAAGCGTTTTTCAGGATTTAAGAAAAATAGAGAAAATTATATAGTGAGAACACTGCATTGTAAGGACACTATCTATTTGCCTGCACTGTGCTAAAAAAATATTAGCAGTGATCATATTGCATCCATCAAGTGCCAGACTGTCCTAATTCAAACTGTGCTCCTTACCTTAGGCCTTTGTGTGTTTTCTGCTCTCCTGATCAGACTCGATGGCAGTCTACAAGTGCCTGCCAGGAGCCTGAAGGGATCAGGGAAGGAGGGAGAAACCCAGCTGTCAACTGCAAGCTATGTAGGCGAGGCAAGGGGCTGCCCCTCACATACACACCTCGCTTCACTTCGATATTTAACAAGATCCCAAAGCGCCCCGAGACTTGAGTGCAGTCATCTGTGTAAAAGTAGAGCTGCCTTCTCCCCAAAACACAGCACTTCTTAACTGTTATGAATTTATGAAGTCCCTTGATGTGTGCAAAGAGAGGAAACCAGGTAAGGTGTCTCCTATGTCAGACCACAACTGAAGCAGGACAGAAAAAAATAAATTCCAGAGATACTAGGCTATGAAGCACATTGATACCAAAGACGGTAAAAGAGATGGTAGACCAAAGAGGAGGAGATGTAAACATTCACAGATACCCCCCAGCACTTCAACACACTTCAGCATTAACATGCTGGAAGCCATGTGCAGGATATGCAAAACTGAAAACCTGGCTAAAGCACTGCGAGACTAAACCCAAATACCCAAACCCCATCGTTTGCTGCTGGAGTCGCCCAGTCAGGTGTCTCACGACGGCCGAAAAGGCACTTTGAAACCGTTAGCGAGAAACGGCGAGTGGAAAGGAACGGGCAGCAGGAGCGGCGGGGATCAGCCGGGAGAGCCTAAGCGGCGCGTTAGAACTGAAGCAGCGCGGAGGGGATGAGGCGAGGCAGGGGTATGGGGAGCGAGCAGCCGCTTTACCGGAACATGAAGGCATCGAGGTGGCATTTAGGAAGGAAAAGGAAATAACAGGTGCAGGAGAGCAAATACGGAGATGAGGAGGTGGGAGTGGCTGGAAAGTGGGTGGAGAGAAAGAAAATCAGTCCTAGGGATGAGCGGTGAGAGCTGGGAGAAGTAGGGGGTATAGGGATGTTATGTTGGGGTAAGGAGGATGGTGAGGGACAGCCGCAAAGGTAGTGAGAGCGCTGAGGGGAAGCCATGAGGGAGGGCGGCCTTCAGGGCAGACGCCGGGTGGCGATGTGGGCGGGAGGTGCCCTCTGCCAATCAGAAGGCACCACGCGCACAAGAGCAGGGGAGCTGAGGCTGCCGGAGGGTCCGCTCTGTGCTCGTCTTGCCTTGCCGGGTGGTGGGAGCTGGCCGCCGGCCGCTGCCGTCTCCTTCCCCGGCGCCCTGTGCCGGGGTCCACCTTGGGAAGGCTCTGGGTGAACCCCAGCCTCTGCCGTAGCGGGGTCGTCTGCACTGCCGCTCGCTGCTGAGCCGCTGTTCCCGGTATTTAGCTCGGGGCGGCTGTGCCTGACAGCTGCCCTCAGGCGGCGAGGCTGGCTCATCAGACGGGGATTTTCGGCGTTTATACGTCCCCTACTTTGGCTAACGCTTAAAAGCGGTTTATGTCGCCCCAGATTGCCACACACCTCTGACTTCTGCCTGTGAGGTAACCCTGTGCCAGTGAGCCCGGTGAAGGCACAGGGTGGGCAAGGTATTGCCCCCATCACTGTAGCAGTGATTCCAATGGTGCCATTTGCTTACCTAAAACCTGGCTGGAGTTACCGTGCCTCCATGAGTAGGAGCTGCAATTGCAATGCAGTGATGTAAGTGGTTATCATGGTGGTGCTTATTTATGGTCTTCCGTTTTCTTGGTGTCTCTGTAGCTGGTTTAAATAAAAACAACGTGGTGATGGAAGAAGGCCTTGGTTTCTATGCTGCATTGTTTTTCTGTCCCACTTCTGGTCTTTTGGTACACCCTTTTTAAAACTATTTTCATGAAAATTTCTTTTCATAGGGTCTCAAAAAGCAGCAATCCAGCTTACTGAAAGGAAAAATACTTTGGAGCCACTTCAGCTACCTGAAACAATCCTATTTGCCATTAATTCATTGTGCAAGTGGGACAGCTTCATTCTGTGTAATCACCACTGTTTTAATGCATACTCCAAAATAATTTATCACAAAGTAATTTTTGAAGATAAGTTAATTCTAATTTTTCTTCTAAATATTTCTGTCAACTGACATTTAAAATGCAACTTATACAGCTGCTGCATAAGGCACGTACTTCTCTCAGGGGAGGTGGGATAAGTCCTGTACGCAGCAAAGTACTGTGGAAACTGGGGTTAAAACCATGCAGTGTAATCTTGTTGGGGTTTTGGTTTGGGTTTTTTTTTCTTTTTTCTTTTTCCCAAGAATTTAAATTGTTTGGTGTAGACAGATAACCAGTTTGAAGTCATGTCTTTCATTCAGCAGAGATTTCCTATATGTTGTTGATGGATTGTATGGTCTGTATGTGGAGGAAGGGAACATCAGTCACAGAGCTGAATTCCTCTCTAGATTACAAATGTCAGGTTAGTAATAAATCCTGATCTATCACCTCTTGGCTATTTTTAGTAGTTAGATCATGATTACAAAATAGAAATATTTTTATAATTTATCAAGTTACATAAAGCCACTAATCCTTTCATATAATGGTTTCTTGAAGTTTCTGAACACTCAGCACAAGGCCAGTAACTATCAGGAGACAAAGACACAGTAGTGTGCATTGTAAGCATCAGTATTTCTTTGATGTCGATGTTCTGTTGTCCATTCTTTGGAGCATAGTTTTCCTGAAGAAAACACATGACCATTAATAAATAGGTCTCTCAAAGCTTCTTTGAAGTTGTATTCACAAATAATCATATTTCTTTACTCCTTTGCTACAAGTGTGCTGTGTCCTAGCATAAAGCTTAGTCTTGAAAAGTATCATTGGTTACGTGGCATAGTGGAGGGATATGAATGATTAGCTTTTGATAGAAGAAGACACATTGCTATTTGTTAATTGCATGAAAGTCACTAAAGTCTTTTTCAGGGTGGGGAGAGGTCTGGATAAGCTTTATGTGAAATGATGTAAATATTAGGATATTCCTAAATAGTGACAAGCTTGACATAGTCTTACTAATATTCTATCTAAAATGTTCAAGCTGTGGTGACCCTTGTGGTTTTACAAATATACTGGTAGTGTGCAGATAAGTCGATGCTTAATTGGCAGAACAAGGGTCCCCAAACTTACTGTGAAATCTGTGCAAGGAAGTATGTACATTTAATTGTTTGGGCTGTACAAGAAATAAATCTTTAGAGTTTTCTTGAAAATTGTTCTCTTGATGTTCTGCCAGGCCAAACAGGCTCTAAGATAATCTTGCAAATGGCTAGAAAGGTTTTACTTTGTAGGAATATTGTTCTGATTTTAATAATAAAGAACATCAACTCCGTGTTCTAGTGGTGGTACTTTTTGTTCATTTTTAATTATTATTTATTTTTATCATGCCTGTAGCTTTCTGTAACAATCTGAATATGATTGGTGAGAGCTGAACCTGGCAAAAATAACAACTGTTAATTAAGCTGCGTCTATTGTAAGTGTAATGTGGCAGTCACCAGGGTTTCAATTCATTTTCAGAACACTTCTACAGGGTGATCTGAGGGGGTCAAGATACTCTTACATGAGCACCTCAACATGCTGGGTAGGTCCAGTGCATGCCAACTCTTTAAACAGATGTTGCGTTCCCCACAGACCTGCCCACACAGTGCGTGGAGACCCTGTGGCCACACCTGTGGATAGCTCTGGTTTGCTTCAGCCTCTGTTCCTGCATGGCCACAGTTTTTTTCCCCGAACTCCTAGCACATGGCACTCCTTTCATGTCCATCCAACTAAGCCACAAATTCTAGCTACAACTTTCAACATCTCTGCAATCCCTTGCCCAGCTCTCTCCACATCTTCCTTGCCCAGCCTGTGTCCCTAGGATTAACTGTGGACCTTCTGAAAAGTCTTTTCTCTGCCAGGGTACCTGAATGAGCTGCTTTTCTTCCCTCTCCCACCCTCTCAATCTCCAATGTCAAATTGACCCTGGCTTCCCTGAGGTTCTGGTTCTATTCTACCCTATTTTCTGCTGCAGATTGCTTTACCCTTCAAGATATAGCAAGGACTCTGAAGTGAATCTGGCTTGGTGTTCATTGGCACCTACTCCCTTGATTCCATTGCTGGAAGTTCAGGATATAGTCACAAATTATCTGTTGAGGAAGAATTGGCAACATACGAGCAAGCCAGTTGCTGTTGAAATGTGCTCCCCATGGATGGTTAGCAAGTGGAAGACTGCTTCCTGCTCCCTTCTGAAATGGAGCTACCTCAGTAACAGTGTTTGAAAACAAGAGGTATTTCCTTCTCCAGGCTTGCTGCCGGGATTTTCTATGCTTGGTTAAGTTTCCATAGTACCTAGCTGTCCTGGTGGTGACAGCGCTTCCTGTCTATGTGATAAGGGGATGTCAGGAAAATGAAGAGTGACATTAATTTTTCTGGCTTTCTCCCATCTGGTATAATTAAGTACTTGAGGGAAAGATAAAGCAGAGGTTATATGTACTTGATGCTGGGCAAATTGTATAAATCAATACAGCAGCAGCACGCAGTTATTGCTGTGCTACTGTTTATATTGTTAGAATCCATGACAAAATGTAATCATTCCCCTAATCATTATTTTATGTGTGACTTACATGTGATGTTTCCTGTGTTTGTACAGATTCCAGATATTACAGGATAGACGCAGATAAAATTAAATGGCTGAGAGTCAGCCAGCCATCATTCTGTCATACTTTTAGGTAATTAACATGTATATGTTGCTAGATTTAAATACTCCCCAGAAGCCTTTGTATTAAGTTTCATTTGCAGCTGAAAAGGGACAGTCTCCAAAATGTCAGTTTAGCTGTTTATACTGCCAGGTTAGGCAAAAGAAGGTGTGTATAACTGTTGAGGCTTCTGACTGAGTTCTGGTTTGTCTAATGCCTGTCTCCTGTTGTCTGTGCTTGCTGTCTTCTGCAACTGGGGACATCGTGGGTGACCACAGGAGAGGGGCCCATGTGAGAGTGCTGTTGTGCTGCACAGCCAGACACCACGTGTAGCACACATGTGGGTAACTCCAGATGGAAAATGTGAGATTTCCCAGTTATTTTACTGTACCTATCTTTGTTTCTGCAGCTTCCTGAAGCTTATTCATTTCTACAAGTCTAAATATACTTCCTTGGATTTCTAGTGATTTTGTGCTACTTTTGTTTTCCAATTACATGAGAAACTATTTCTTCCAGCCGACAAAGTAATGAGAAAAAAAAAAAGTTCATCTTACTTTTACTAATCCAAATGGACTAAATAAACCAAAATTATTTTATTCCAATTATACTTAATTTTTTAGTTATTGTAAAAATAAAGGAGAAACTCTGAGGGCAGGCTTTCATTTTTGAGACCAGTAGTTTGGAAACTCCCCAGGACAGTGGAAGAGCTGGTTTCACTTTGTGCTTCCAACTGAATCAGAGGCAGTGGCTCCCATGGGGGCTTTTGAACCACCATGCTTTGGTGGCTCTGCAGTGGATGCTTTTGCAGTTGCTGCCATCGCCATTGTCTTACAACAGAGACATTTTCCCCTCCACTCTTTTCCTGTCCTCAAACTGAAGCTGTCATCCTCTGTCTGTCAGGTTCTCCTCCTGGTGGTCCCAATTTCCTAGGTTTTTTGAGGGGGAGCTTTTGGAATTGACTCCCTTTGTTTTTGTTATTTTATTTTTTTTTTTTTTTTAATTATGGTCTCCTGATTTTTGTTTATCCCCAAGCAAAACAACCCAAACATAGATCTTAGTTCCTAAACAGACCACACTATGGAAGGTGTGAAAGGTTTCTGCATTGGTAGCAAAATGTTTCTCAGCCAGTAGGCCAGAAAGGTTCCTCAGGGGCCAGAGAGATTCTGTGCACTCAGGATAATTTCTAAACATCCATTTAACCTTTGCAGAAGAACTTACTTCAACCTAGAGAAAAATACATAGGATAATTTAGACTGACAGGTATGGGAAATCTAATAATAGGACTTTTAAAACAGAACACTGCCACAGAAATTTGGGTGAATAAAAATAGCACAATCTTTTCTTAGCACTTTCAGCAGTACAGAGACCATTAAAGCAAAATAAAAGCACTGTTATGCCCTATTAACAGATACTGTTGTGGGAAAAGCTTTCCACTGAAAAGCTCCATGATTTCCACTCAGAAGCTGCTGTTCTCGTAGCTCCTCATACAAATTGTACTTAAATTCTACAAACCTATAATAGGATTTTAATCGATGGCTTATTAAGGGGTTTCTTTGATCTTTTATTTATTTGCCAAAATAGAGCTTGTTATTTTAAAACAAGGTATGATTGACTCTTTAAAAGCATATAGGTAGATTAGATCGAATTCAACAAGTGTTCTTCATGCTGCTCAAGTGAATTTGCTGGCAGAGCTGGAAGGACCATACTCTCAGGCCTGTGTTGTGTGTACTTTGCAGGTTTTCTTTTCTTGAAGAAGGCAATTGAAGAAACGTCTTTCTGGAAAAATCTTTGGTTAGATTGTCTTTAAATTAGCCATTTTGTGTGACTGATATGAAGCACCTTAGCTTGAGCAGCTTGAAATGAGCAACAGTGCCCTGACAAGCAAACCTTTCCATGTAGCTAAAATGTGAGATGGGTGAAGCAGACACTGGCTTTTAAAAATCTTTTCCAGTAGTCTTATTTGCAGAGACTTTAGATTATTCCTAATAAAGTCATCAGTTTAAATATAGCTTCTCTTAACTTCTGCAGGTTTGATACAATACTCCCTTTTTAGTGGAGACCCTGTTTTAGAAGAGAAACAGTGCATGGTTAATTCCTACAGTTATGAAGCATATATATGTAGCCTACAGCACTTCCATTAGAACCTCAAAATGCAGTTTTCTCTTGATAATTACAGAGGAAACTTGTATGTGGACTTAATGGGGCCAAATAAAAGCAGGAACCCAGAGAGTGTGCTTCAAAGGGGAAATCTGCCCTCTTTGGTGTGCTTTTCCTTCATTCCCCTGTGGAAGGTCCATAGGGACACAGCAGAAAGATCCAGGGCTGTGGATGACAGCCCATAGGAGCAAATACTCCAGGGGGAAGCACTTCTTCAGTCTGGGTCTTTGTTGATGTCTCAAAATCTGTAGTGGAGCCAACAGAGCTTCTCCGAACAGCTGTGGAAATGTTGCTCTGTACAAGAAAAGAGCAGGTCTTCCCAAGAGAGGAGGGTTATCTGTGCCTCCCCAGGCTGGATGTTGCTTTATGTTCCCATTTGGAAGGCAGTTTTCATCAAGAAGGTGCCAGGTCCATGTTTTTTTTTTCAGTTTATTTTTCAGGTATAATAAATCATCACTTGAAAAGTATATCTGAAAGTTCACCATAGCTATCCTGACATTGTACAAAGCAAAAAGCAGGCTTATATCCAAGCCCTGAGGAACCCTGGTTAGTGGCACAAGGAGGAAAAGACTATTTACAAGGACTGTGGTAAGGGAACAGGCCCCCCAAAGCACCTACAAGTTCTGATTCACCATATGGCTCTGCTGATCTAACAGTTCTCCACTGCTGGTGCTCTGGCACAGATAGGTAATGGTAATGGAGTTTGTCAATACCCCCAAGCTTGATAAAGGTTGAAGCATGCTTAGGGGTCATCCAGAAGGTCTAGTTGGGAGGGAAGATGGGAAGAACGAGGCAGCTCTGGTGGCCAGGCTGCAGCACCTTGTGGAGGCTGAAAAAGCCCTTTTGCTTCCTTTTCCTCATATGTGTCTTCAGTTGTTTCTTCCTAAGCATATTCCTTTTATTTTTTTAACTTTCTAGTCCACTCTGCTGTGTTTCCATGCACAATAATCTATTTTTTTTCTCTTGAATTTAGGGGGAATAATTATTTCTTATTAATAGGCCGGAAAAGCAATGCAAAGTGGAAAAAAACAGGAACTTTTATTTTACTGATGTGAGAAGGTTCCTAGAAATATCTTTGTCCAGTTGTACTGCATGAACTCATCGATTCTGCATAAACATGAGATGGCAACAAGGTATGTGACAGACTTCCCATCCTGCCAATTGTACCACCAGCTTAGAAATGTCAGGACCTTAGGAAACAATTTGAAATATTGCATCTTGAATAGCACTTTGAAAATTACACTGATATTTTAAAACAAACCCGCTCTTGTCTTTTTTTTTTGTCTGTAGTGTTGATTGCTGCTATCAGCAATGCTATGCCTGCCAAGGAGAGAGTAGTCAAGGTGAAACTGTATTTCTTGTTTGTGCTGGAAAAACCAAAGACTTCAAACACCTGAAACACACGAAAGGTGACAGGCACCATGGTGTGCTGTGACTGTTAGAAAATGAAAAGCTTCTTATAATTTATAAGTAGACTTTACCTTCTTTTGAACTGTGGAAAAGCTCTTTTAACCAATTATTAACTATGGTTTTCAAAGCAGCTGTTTGCTCCAGGAGGCAACATACGGAGGAGCAGCCAGCCGGTGCGATGCAGAGGAAAGGAGGCTGGGAGACTTGATGGTCTCCCTCTCCCTCTGCCCCTGAGCTCCGCAGCATGTTCTTCTGCTGTCCTGAGCACTCTCCTGATCAGATTTATCAAATACAATAAGTATTTTATTGTAAGATTATACTTCATTCTGGTTTTATTGTTCAGTGCTACATTCTCCCAATGTGTAGAAAACCAAAAAGTATGCAGTCTATACAGTCTTTGCCATTGAGAAATTACACTTTATGGATAAGATACTCTTGACGAAGTGAGAGAAGAAACAAAAGAGAGTTATGTAGCAAGATGGTTTTGCTTTTTGGGCCATTTGACTTCATTTATGGTTTTGGCCAATTTTTAATGGATGGCATTAATCTCAGTACACTTTAGTTCTTACAGTACAGGCATCAGTCCTCAGCTAGGATAATCCCAGGCTCAAGTAATTTTATTTCTTATTGAAACATTAAGGAAAACTGCAATTATTTTTTATTTTTTCTAATGTTTTTTGTATTTTTATTACAGGGGAATAAATCCATATATCCAAGGAGACATTCTCATTCCGGATGTTGATTGGAGGAAAATGTGTACCTGTAGGGGCTTGTGCCAGCTGCCCATCATCTAGCACCCTGGGGCCAGGCTCTGAAGCGGGCTGGTGCCTCTACCCCTGCTCTCTTCCCTCACTGCTGGCTGGTGTCTCTGAAGTGCTAGCAATTCCTGCCCTTTGTGTGTGTTACGGATATGCCTTGGGCTTAAGAAATGACAACCATAGGACCTGTGATGACTTGAAAACTCACACACCAATGCTATCTACCCTCCAGCCAGCATGGGACAAGTGATGCATTATAAATCCAGATCCTCTACCAGTGGAGAGATTAAAGCAAGTAAGAAGTTTCTTAATCCCTGCCTCAAGCAGTTTAAAACCTCCCTCTTGCTTGGGGTCCTACATAAATCAAAACACAGGACTGGCTATACTCTGCAAATAAATCTTCCTTGATATTTACTTCTCACATAACTTCTCTGTAACAAAATCTGAATCCCCTACCAAATATGCTAATAAAATGTCAACCCTTCTGTAATTTAGTAGCATCACAATGATAATACCTTCTCCAGTTATATGTTACTGTTTCAGAGAGCACTTGACATAGTGCTTACACATAAAAAGTAAAATTATTATCTTAATACATTTTTTAGTCTTTTATTTCTTAATATTGAAATACACTAAATATAAACCACCTGTACAATAACTAATCATGAATGAATACAAAACAAATGTAGATTAAATTAGCCTGAAAAAAGTCTCCCACAAGTAAGTTCCATATGCATTTCAGGAAAACGACTTCAGAAAATAAAAGTATATGAATTATTCCTGGTGGAGTGAACAATTATAGTAATGGCAGAGGACACTTCATACTGAGCATTGTAATAGGATTAAAGAACATGTGTATTTATTTTTTCCTGAAAGAATAGGAGCTACCAAAAGAAAAGTGATGATTAGTCTATAAAACATATTTTGCACATACGGAAAGCCTTCTGTTTGAGGGTGTGATGGTACTTTACAGGCAATCATGAATTAAGCCTTACAAGCTGTCACAGGAGAACTGGTAACAAATATACCACAACTAAGAACGTGTACCCAACACAACCTGCCATTCTGAAGACTGGAATCAAAGTGCCACAGGTTTCAACAAAGGCACCAAAACCTAGTGTCCAGTTCTGTGCACGAGCTGGTGAATGCCATTGTAAAGTTGCTCCATCACCATGTTTCCCATGACCACAATGTACTCTGCACACCACCCTTCCCCATGCTTGCTGCTGGAGGCAGTTACAGGCAAAGCTTATGCTGAAATGTGGCGACCATGACTCGTTGCCATGTTGTCTTTAGCCTTAAGTTGAAAAAAACCTAGTACTCCTGGCGGGGATCCAGAGCTTGAGCTAACCTGAAGCTGGCTCCGTACATCCACACAGGTGTGATCGCATCTTTCGGGTGTGATCCTCATCTGATTGCACCTGTGTGGATGGCACAAAACCCCAAATCAGCACTTTCACACCATTTGCACCCCTGCTGGGAGGACTTGTCCATTCTAGCTAATGTTCAGATAAGTCAGTGCCACAATTTTGATGTTTGATTGCATACTGGACCAGCAGCTGATTAATTAAACAATCAAAAAGTTGTTGCCAGCACTTTAAGAATCCCAGCCTTTTCAGTTGCATGAACTTTTCTGCTGTGAACTTAACCTGTCACAATTTTCTTTCACTGCACATATTTGCTGATGCCAGAAGTTCCATCAGAAAGACTTCACAAATCAAGCCTTTGGCAGGTTGCAGGCTGGGTCTCATTCTCACCTCCACCTTGGTGCCTCGGGGGACGTGCTGTCTTCTCTAGCTGAAGCACACAGGTATGCCTTTGCTTGCTTTTCCTCAGTTGTGCTCATTTCCAGCTAAAACACTTGGATGTCTGAAACCCAGGTAAGACCTCTTCAATATTTAATTTTTCTACTAAGCATGAAACTAAAATATGTTGGGGTTTGGCCAGTCCTTGTTTCTCTGTTAAAGGGAGTCATGTTTAGAGTATCATTGGTATTGAACATCACAGTGTTAGCATAGGGACTGGGACGTGTACCTACCAGGATTATTTTTACCGTGGATATCTATACTCACTGCAGTGCTATCGCAGTGGTTGCAGCTTAAGTCATCTCTGAGTCTGTCCATTATTATGGCAGAGTATAAAATTTAAACTACAATGCAACAGGAAATTGTTTGCTTAGTTTTGCTCACACACTGGTTTCACCACCATCTCTCTCTGTAGCTGGGACCCAGGCTCAGCTGCTCCATGCTCACTGACATTGTCTCCCTGTCACAACCCAGGCTCTCTGTGGTTGTGGCAGGTGAGAGGAGCTGAAGCAGCATGAAAGGCTGGTGATCCTTGGTAGCTTTCCCTACCTGTGGTTGCTGAAATAGCCATCTAGGTATGGCTGTTATGTCATGGGTTGTATAAAGCTGCATGAACCAAACTTACATGCAGCCTACTGGAATACTTTCAATGCCTTTACTTATGTTGCCCATACTCAGGGCGAGGGGTGATTCATCTTAGAACATTTAGCACAGCAATGGCTGTATGAAGGTGAGGAGCAACAATGGAGCTAGAAAGTGGCACTTCAGGCATGCTCACACAGGGATGCCCCAGCAACTCAAGCTGCATCAGAGTGTGCTGGCTTCACTGGTGCCTATAGATGGAGAAAGAGTTGGAAGATCCAAAGATGGGGAGCAGGCTGTTGTTTCAGAGCTCTGCTTGGTGACAGGATGCTGGACTGTCTTTTATATCCATGTCTGCCTTCTGTTTTTCCAGCAGAGATTTTGTGGTAGCAAGTCTTGCTTTCCTCCTGGTAACCAGAAAGAGAATGGGTGTGAAATAAATGCAACAGTAAAACTTCCATTGGGTTCATGCTCTGGTTCCCCCATATGAGTTTTTTTGCATTGATACAACAGTTTTTCTTTGCTATAAGATGTGGTTGTAATCTTGTTTCTTCCAAAATTCGTAACACCTGACATCAGGCATTTCTCAGTGGCATCTTCATTAGGACTGCAGTCTTTGTTTTAAGTTAATGGAAAGAGAAGAACCTCTAGAGGAGTTAGACTTCTCCAAACAGCCCTGCTGAATCTAGTTAAGATTAAATAGCTGGTATTTGAATACTATAATGTTTTTGCTGATAGCATTATGTTTTTATTTTACACTAAGTGTGAATGTGTTTTCAGTTTTCTCCAACAGCCTTTGTGACATGTCCCTCTGCTTTCATCCTGGTTTCAGTGCAGAAATTTCTGTGATGAGAAATTTTTGCTACAACGAAATCAAAGCCAGGGCTTCATTTTGATTTTTGTATTGTTTTATTATGACTGTCACTTTACTAAAGGCTACCTCTGGGTAAGCCTACACACAAGGGTGTGTAGACTTACCTTGGTGAGGCAGAGCACCAAATGACCTACCAGTTCTTCTCTTGCAGCAGTACCAGTTTGAGTTTCATGGGAGGCATGAAGCTGGGGCTGGCCATCCTGTTGTACCTCAGTAAGTACAGATGTTACAGTTACCTCAGGCCGGGGTTGGAATATTATCATGTGATTTACACATCTTTGCAAGATTTTATTAAAGTGCTTTTTTTAAGCACATTAAGACACATGTGACAGTGGGTACTTATTTCCCACTATTCTGCCTAGGAGCTATGAGTGATACGAATCCTTTAAGTACAAAGGAAAGATACATGTAACTGAGTCTGAATCAGGCCCTGAAAGGGGCAATCAATATTTGCTAACAAATAATGAGCATGGATCTGCATAAATAAAGAAGAGCTGGCTAACCAAACTTATGTGTTGTTTTATACCTAAGAGTCAAGTGTCAGTCATCATCTGAAATATAGCCTAAGCCATAAACTAAAATCTGGCTGTAAAATACTGCTTTTTTACTGCTGTAATTGCATGACTGTTTCTAGTGTTCTGTGGGATCTTCATGTATCAATTGTTGGAGGTTTCTTTAATACACTTTTTATAACAAGTTCAGCCAGGTAAAATTGAACAGATAAAGCCTCCAAGGTGCCCATTCCTGTTCAGGGTTTCAGGACAGAACTTGTTTAAAAGAACAAGCCCTGTAAGGGAAGTCTTAACATAATGGGGAAAATATTTAAAGCTGTTTCAGGCAAAATACACAAAAAAGATCCTGCAATTATTTAAAGAATTCAGAATTACTGTGAGAATGAAGACCTTGGGCCCACTGTAGGAGAGGATCTGGTTCGAGACCCTCTTAAGAACCTGGATGTACACAAGTCCATGGGACCTGATGAAATCCATCTGTGGGTCCTGAAAGAGCTGGCAAATGAAGTTGCTAAGCCACTGGCCATCATATTTGAGAAATCATGGCAGTCAGGTGAAGTTCCCAATGACTGGAAAAAGGGAAATATAACCCCCATTTTCAAGAAGGGGAAAATGGGTGACTCAGGGAACTACAGACCAGTCAGTCTCACCTCTGTGCCTGGCAAAATCTTGTAGCAGATTCTCCTGGAAGGCATGCTAAGGCACATGAAAAACAACAAGGTGCTTGGTGACAGCCAGCATGGCTTGACTAAGGGGAAATCCTGCCTGACCAATTTGGTGG